TGATGACGATGGTCTGGTTTTTGTCTGGATTGTTTGCTGCATATTATGATTTTCCTTTCTTAAACCAATATGTTTACAACTTGTCTAATTTCTTTCCTTGTTCAATCTAACCGAGTTGAAGGTTAATAATTTTTCCTGATTTAGGCCAATAGAATCTCTGATTAATTTGTTCCTTTGATGTCTCAAATTTGGGACTTAATATGAACGTGTTAATCTGGTGCTGCTATTATGTGACCTTCATGATGGCCTAAGTTTTTTTGACCACCTTATTTTTTTCTTTTCATGTAATGCCCTTTGGAGGTGTAAATATGGCAGAATTTGGCATAGGGTGGAGTTTGAAGAGCAAGGGGAAGGTTTATACTAGGTATAGAAACAGAAGAATTGGTCATCATTGTGCGAAATTTGATGTTAGTGGACTTCAATGGTTGTGACTGTTGAAATTTCGTGATAAGGTGTTTACTGATCATCTCTTCTTCTTTTTTCATGTGCGTTTAATGGCCTGGTATTTTCCGTAGAGCTTGCAGCAAAAAAGAAAACCAGTTGGCATGGTTAGAAGATTCTATTATTGCAAGCTTATCTGATCACTTCTAAAGGGTGCACTAAGAAAGACGAATGACGTCAAGAAAGAACATGAGACAACAATCCATAATTCCTTACAACAGTGCCACTTTTCTTTTATCAATTTCACTTCAAAATGTGCAACATCATTTATTTTTCAATTCAAGGACGAATAGTCCTTTGCAAATAATTGTATCTCCTAAATAATATGATTATCTCCTTTGTAACCAATAACCTTTTAAGAATATCTCTTTTGAGTTTGCTGTTTTGAATTTAAATCTTGTAAGAACAATTGTCTTGTACTTCAAAATGAATATAAACTTCTTGCGAATATTTTGTGCAATGTGAACTATAGTTTTTTTGAATTAATTTAAGCTTAAAGTTTGAATCCTCGTGAATGATGTCTTGCACTTGAATGTTGACCCTTGAAACCATTTTGTACAAATTGAATCATCTTGAGTTTCGATCCAACTTGTAAAGTTTGAATTTTGAAAGGTCTGGTAACTTGGTTTTCCCTTGAATTGAAATAAGCTTTGTAGTTTGGATGGTGGATTCTCATGGTAGAATTCAAATCATATTTCTTGTATAAAACTCAAGAATCACTTCAAGGTATATTGATTGCAAGTTATTAATCCAAAATATTTCCCTTAAAATCCAAAAGAAACAAACCAATATCAAATTCCCTACAACCTTGACCACACTTAAATGGAAAGAAAACTTGATCCTCTTCAGAAATATACACTGAAACTTTCGGAAGATACTGAGGAAAATGACTAGTGGAAAACTCAGGGATCCTCGTATCAGAATGGTTATGCCTTGAAGTACTTGATTGTTAGGAATTAAACTGGAAAATGCTGCACCTACGTAAGCTGATTAGTTGTAATAAACACGTACAAATTGAATTTAAACCCTGAAGATGCTAGGCAAGATAATGCGTAAGAAAGTGGAATTTCAGGTTCAAAAAATAGGGTGTGACACCATGGAAGTTAAATGAGGAAAGAAATCTAAACAAGCATGAAAAAGGACAAAAAAACAGCTTCTGGTACAATGTTAATCGATTAACCATTTTTGCCTTGCAAATGGTTAATCAATTAACCCTTTGAAAACAACAAAATTTTCCTAAAACAGAGGTGTTAATCGATTAACACATTTTTCCTAGCAAATGGTTAATCAATTAACCCTATAATAGTGACAGAAAAACACCATTTCAAAATCACTTTCAGCAACTAATCACTTCTCCAATCACCCACATGTTATGACATGCAATTGTACATGAAAATTACATCAAGTAGCAACAATTAAGCATCGATTGAATTCATCAAACATCAAGATCAATAATCAAACAAATGAACAATCAATTCACATCAAAAAGACATTGGATCTACATTGTGAACATGCGAAAGTGATCAAAAACAATAAATCGAGCGAGAATTACCAACCAACAAGGCAGAGGATTTCCTTGGTAGTTATTGTAAGTGAAATGTGGTGAGAATAAGCAAAGAAAACCAGAGAATTTCAAGCTTAAGATCGAATCGTAGCGAAACTGATAAAAACGCGATGAATGCTCTGAACACCAATTTGCACTCAAAAGCTTGAGATGATTACTTGAATTGAAGTAGAAGCTACTGTAAATCCAGAAATCCAAGTAGAAATGTAGTGGAATAGAGGTTTAACTTAAGAGAAATAACAAAATCAATGTAAAGATTATTACACTCTAATGGTGGAAATTGAGCTTTTGTGTATGGTTTGGTGAAGAAAATGAAGATGAATTGCATAAAATTCAGAGAGAATTGAGAGAAAAGAGTGAAAGTGAGAGAAAATTGAGAGTGAAGAGTGAAAAATGATTAATGTTTCAAAAGTTTTCCTTTAAAAATATGAAGAATTCTTTATATAGAAGCTAACTTTGGAGTAGGCTAGGTTTGAAGTTTACTTTGGAGTTAGCTTTAGAGTTAGTTACATCTAGCTCACTGAATCGGAAGTTGACTCGATTAGTTATTTGTTAACTCGGTGGGAGCATCCCAATGCAAGTCCAAAATCCAATGGTTTACATGTTTGGAAGCAAAGGTGTATGGTGAACACAATTGAAAGTTATGTATTGTAGCAAATGCAAATGAGTTCTTGAAGTGTCTAGAATATTCCATATGATACTAGAGCCAAGTGAACCCCAAAGAAGTAGAAGAAATGTTGTTGTCATGAGAAAATGCAAAAAATATGCCGAATTACATGTGTTAATCGATTAACACATTTTGTCTAACAAATGGTTAATCGATTAACACAACCAAAACTTGCCCAATTTAGTTTAAAGCAAGGTGCTATTGCCACAACTCTAATCTTTGACTTTTTGCTTTGATAAATAGGCATGAAAATCCTTGTATTTTGCTTGTATTGATGATGTGATGACTTTGTGAGGATGTGATTAATCAGGCTTTGAAACTCTGAATGTTCCTGCAACAAAAATCACAGAGAAAAAATGCTAATGCATATGCCGACAATGCGAATGCACATGCTTACGCAAAAAGGCAAAATGAGAGGTCAAATTTTGAATTACGACAACAACACGCCGTTAGTAGGTGTTTGCTGTAATACTTCCAATCAACTCATAAACCTCAACATATGACTTGGATAACAAGGCTTCACCAGATAATGCATCAAACATGTTTCTTAAAGACACTTTAAGACCATTGTAAAATATTTTCGATTAAATACAAATAAAAATTTCATGATAAGGACATTCTCTTAATAACTTCTTAAATTTTTTTCAAGCATCAAACAGTAATTCTTTCTCTTCTTATTTGAATGAGGTGATTTCATCCCTCATATTTGCATTTCTTATTGGAGGAAAATACATGGCTAGACATTTCTCATCCAAATTATTTCAAGTGTTATGAAATTTGATTCTAAAACATTGAGCCAACTCTTAACTCTGTCCCTTAAAAAACATAAAAACAATCTCAACATAAACGCATCATTAGTTACTCTAAAATTTTAAAATTACTTGCAACTTTAAAAAAATTACTTTAAATATAAGTGTGAATCATTGGTTGCGGCACCTTAACGGTGGCCAATAACTTACATAATTCTAAAATTTCAATTGCTTAAACTATTGATGTTTAACCTTACAATACTAGTGTTCATGTCATTTAAATAAAAAACAACTAACATATAATATTTCTTCCTATATTATTAGGTATACTAATAATATCTTGTTGTGTCATCTCTTTTTTTTTTCCTTGTTAATATTATTCTTAATGTGTAACATTAATATTAATATATTTAATTACTCTTAAATAAAATTAATTTTGCCTTAAAAATTAACTACTACTTAAAACTAAAATTTATATCTTCTAAATTTAAAATTCAAATCATCTTTTAAACATGATTTATTTCACATTTAATTCATTTTCAAATAAAACTAAATCATTCAAAATTCATTTTTGTCCTCAAACTAAAATACGTAGTTACACAAATTTCTCCGCATAAAATTGAACCTAGAATGAGTTGCTAATAAGTTTTCCCTAAAATAAAAGAACTTCCATAAGGTTGCGTTTGTCCCCAAAAAATGAATTAATCGATTATTTTAAGCTAATAGTACAAAATTTGTAACCGATAAAGGTAAAAAAGCCTTTTCCCAACACGGAAATTTTCACGTACAAAATACACAATAACGAGTACATGTTTTCCGTCTCTCGTTATCGTTCTCTTCTATTATCGTGCTTTATCCTTCACACTCTCTCTCTCTTTTTCTCTCTCACTCACTTCACTCACACATTGCTCTGCCTCTGTTCTCTCTTCTCTGCTCTCACCGTAAGCTCTTCGCTCTAAACCCTAACTCTCATTCATCCCTCTTTTCAATTCATCATTTCAATATATACTTAACATTTCGCTTTTTCCTTCGTTTCTTAGGGTTACGCTTTTTCGATTTTCGATTGAACTTCGTTTTGTACTTCATGCCTAGTTTATCTTTCAGTTAACCGCAATGTAATCTATGTTTTTGTGATGCTTTTCGTGATTTGAACCTGATATGATTATCACTGATTATTTTGCGTTCGTCTAAACTTGATTTTTCAGTTCTTTGTAAATGTTGTTAGAGTGAAAGTAACGTTCATTTCTCCTAGGGTTTTTTATTTCTTTAGTGTTTTTAGTTGATTGTTGAAGGTAAATTAGTTGATTTTTTTGTAGCAAATGTTATGCTGTAACCGTCATTTTTAAGCATGGTTTGAACATGAAGAAGGATGTTGTTTTCACATAGAAATGAAATTCATATCAGTGCTTGTTCTTATTTATTAGCTAAATGTTTATGTGCTTTTACCCACGAGCTTCACTTGTAATGGGACATTTTGAGTAGGTTTGTCATTTGTGGTTGAGTTATTTTTTTCTCACTTCTTTTAGTGTTTTATTCAATATTTCATTATTTTCTGTGTAGCTGAATATCCTGGACAACCATGGGTGATAAAGGAGGAAAATCATGTCCGATTTGCACCGAGGAGATGGACCTGACTGATCAGCATCTGAAACCATGCAAATGCGGCTATGAGGTTTGGCTAGTTTATTTACCTAAGGAATATGGATTTATTTGCATATAACTCGTCTATTTTCTTATTCGTGATACCTAAATATTTTGGTTGAGCATTCTTGTTTTATGATTGTTCAAATTAATATGTATTATCGATATGCCTCAATCATGCTTGTGCTATGAAAATAAAAATTTAGAATTAAAACTGTCAGGTATTTTGCATTTCACTGAATACATATTGCATTTACTTATAGAAAACTATTTTTGTTTTTTAAGACTGAAAAACCCCTATTTGAGTAGCTACGTTTGGGTTCAAATTTCAAAAAACCTGTTTAACAAATCTTCATTATTTATAAACAAGAAAAGCAAAATTCTTGATCTTTCTCTTTTCACAGATCTGTGTGTGGTGTTGGCATCATATAATGGAAATGGCACAGAAGGATGAAACTGAGGGCCGTTGTCCTGCCTGCCGTTCAGCTTATGACAAAGAACGCATTGTGGCAATGGCAGCTAACTGTCGAAGGTTTGAGTTATGAATGGAATTTCTTATTTTTATATTAAATGTTTGTTATTATGCTTTTGTTGGGTAACACTGATATGCTTTCGTTGCTTTACCAGATTGGTTGCTGAAATGAATTCACAGCATAAAAAGAAACTACAGAAGGCAAAGCCTAAATCATCAGATGGAAGGAAACATCTTACTGATGTTAGAGTCATTCAGCGCAACCTTGTGTACATAATTGGACTGCCTCTTAACCTTGCAGATGAAGATGTGAGTTCTCCAATGCTGTTCTGTCTCTAACTATTTCTAGATGCAATTGTATCGAGCATGGCAGGCACAGTTCACATTAGTTTTTGTGTATTTGAAATTGTAGATCATCTTAACCACTTTTTCTTTCAATTGATAACATCTTTCTTGGATTATACCAGTTACTTCAGCGTAGGGAGTACTTTGGAAGGTATGGCAAGGTTTTGAAGGTATCAATATCTCGTACAGCAACAGGCATTATTCAACATTCTGCAAATAACAGCTGTTGTGTGTAAGTTGTTATGAATATCTCTAAAGCAGCAACTACCATAGTGTTGTTCAAGTAGAAAGTTACAGTCTCTCCGTTGTTTATGTAGTTATTTTCTTTATGTAATTATGATGTAACTTTTGAAGGCTGGAGCTTGCAGTTTGTTCCTATAGCTGTTTTATATTCATTGAGTTAAAATTTCGTATCTTTAGGTATATAACTTACTCAAAAGAATCTGAAGCAGTTCGATGCATTCAATCAGTTCATTTTTTTGTATTAGAAGGTAGATCGTTGAGGTAAGGATATACCATTTTGGTTGAGTTGTGACTTGTAAGGCTTTCATGATCTTGTTATGATTGGTGATTATTTTTATTTGCAGGGCTTGTTTTGGAACCACAAAGTATTGCCATGCATGGCTCAGAAATGTGGTAAAATAGACACTCTAAGCCGAACTTATGATTGTTTAATCACACATAATTACAGTTTTATGCTACTACGTTAGAAACTGAATCAAGCTTTGTACAATGGATAAATCTACTGTATTATTCCTGAAAGAATTCTGGTACTAGTAGGCAGCAGTACCGCAACAGTATATTTACAATAGTGTTGAGGACTAAAACTGAAAAGAACAGGGTAGTTGAGAAAATTTTCACACTCCTTTACTGACTTGTAGGACTACTCATTTCCTGCCTTTTTCCCCTAACTCATTTATGCCCCCATATTCCCTTTTATTTTGTTACCCAAATCACTCAATTATTTCCTTATGTAAATTGCTAAGTGTGCCCCTGTTCTCTCCTATGCAATCTTCGTTAATTATTCAATTTTCCATGATTTTGTTTCTGCTGTATTCTAATATAGACCTTAGTAATAAGTGGTTTCCTCACATACTATATAAATTATCTTGCCGGTCCAGCCATGCAACAATAGAGAATGCTTATATCTACATGATCACGGTGCTCACGAAGATAGCTTTACCAAGGATGAGTTAGTACTAGCATTTGCAAGGTATGATAGGTTCTCAACTCATGTACACTATCTCTCCAATTTAAACTTTTGAATTTGCTGCCTTGCTTATATAAGGCTCATCTGGTTGTATTGTGTATTCATTTGGGAGTTTAAATCATAATGCTTGCACATCAATGTATTTTTACTTCTCTGGTCTTAGGCCCTCTGCTGGTTGGTCGCTTTCATTTTTCATATAGTATAAAAATCCCACTTCTTGCATGACAGTCGTTTAGCTTTCTCCATAATTTCCACAAATCTGTCAAACAGGTATTAGTCCCTCTGATGGCTGATTGATTAATTGTCATATAGTAAAAAAATGCTACACCTTGCATAACATAGTCATTTAGGTTTCTTCATAATTTCCACAAATATTTCAAACAGGCAGTGTGTGTCCTGGTTCAATAGTACTTTTACTTTCCTCCTGTATGACATGTTTTTACTTGTTTTGGATTGCATTCTCCTCCTAGTTAGACATACTATTGTTTGACAATGCTATTCTTTGTTTTTTATGTTTGAGAGTTATATCTTTAATAGTAGTTTTGCTTTTGTATATCTGGATGTTAAAGGAGTAGAGTCCTACAAATCATTGGTGCTACAAATAATTTGCATCGCCGTTCTGGGAGTGTTTTACCTCCACCACCAGATGAACCTAGACACATGCCATCAGCCACCAAAGTAGTGTCCAAAAGTCCTTTAGATGTAAGTATTAAAGAACATCACTTTTGTGGTAAATTTGTTTATTATGGGTGATATGATTCTTCAATTTTCTTCTGTTTCGTTGGTTTTTAGGAAGTGAACCAACAATTTTTATTAAACTCACTTGTATGTTATCCATCATGAAAATTTAGATCCAGATTACAGGATCCTGTTCAAGCAATGGAGCTGCTAATTCAACAGCACTTCCTGCAGCAAACTCTTGGTAATTAATTTATGATTGTGTGGTATTCTCGCATTAATTAATTTTGCATGGCAGTTCAGTTGTGATTTTTATGGCAGGGCACATACATATACGTCATTAAAGGTGTTGAAATCAACCAAATAAAAAAAGATTAGTAAAACAGACTGCCAGTTTTTAAACCCTAATTAAAACCCTCTTGACACTCCCTATCAATGTTTCCACTATCTCTCACTTGCGAGTCTCTGTCATCTCTCATCCATGCTTCTCTGTCATTTTTCGTTTGCTCATCTCCAGTGAACGGTACATCTCCCATTAACAGCCCATCTCCAATGACTTCTGATTTCTCAACTATATAGGTTCTACATCTGGCACGGGCAAGCTGTGTTTTTCTTCCTCCCTTTTTCCAATTTTTCTCCACTTCTTTCTCTCTATTTTTTTTTTTTTTGTGAAGTTTGAGTTTCAAAGATTTTGTTCTTCAAGCATTGCATTCATCCTTTTTTTATATATTTTTTTTGTGGATCTTCTATTCTCTATGACTTTGTCTTCCTTGCCTAGCAGTTCCCTATTTTTTCTTGTTTTATTTTATTCTGTTCTAGATATGTTCTATATTTTTGTTTTGTTTTGTAAATTGTGTTTCTAAGATTCTGTTCTGCGAGCATAATATTCATCCTATTTCATTTTTCTGTCTTCAATTCCATGACTGTCTTTGTTGTTTAGCTGCTCTCTTTTTTTTCCTCCATAATTTATTGTTATATTATACTCTACAATTTTTTCTTTAATAAAATACAGTGTAATATTTTTCATCGTAACCGCATATGCTTCTGCCACAGGCTGTCACACCGCATTATTTTTTTGTAGTGTGAATGCTGACTCATTAGGTTTATTCTGCTAGGGCTAGGTGTGTATCTGGCAGTCTTCTGCAGGATACTAGTTCATCGTGTTCTAATAATCTGGCCAAGAAAAAGATTGAAGCATCTAATGGCCCCCAATCCCATATGCCCGGAGTTGCTTGCACTGAAAGGTCTATTCTTGATACGAAAGAATCGGGAGAAGGTGAAAATAACGCGCATTCCAATAGTGTGAGTGTACCTTCAACATTGAATAAACATCACATTGGCGGAAATTCTCAAACATGTAAGTCAAATGTTACCAATGAGGTTACTGTGAAGAAACTTTCTGGCATTATATTGTCTAACTGTAGAACTTCTTCAGCAGCTTTTGTAGGCCTTGATCAAGATAAGGCTGCACCCTCAACGAGTACAAGCTTCCTGGAGACGGGCAGACCTCACAATTTGAATACTGACAAGGCAGTTTCAAATCAGGATGTGCATGGCTTATGTTCTGAGTTATCATCTGTTAGCATCAACAGTAATCTTAAAGATTCATATTTCACTCGGGATTCAGACAGGTTACTTTTTACTCCTAACTCAATCAATTCCTCTCCAGGGAAGCATTTTCCTCAAGATAGTGAATATTGTAAAGATCATTCAACCACACCAGCATTTTGGGAAGATATAATCGTGGATGATATGCTAAATAAAGACTTTGATCAACAACAATTCTGCAAAGGCATTAACAATTTAGCATTCGAGCATCAGTCACCTCATTATCCTCAGAATCTAAACCAATCTAACCATCAACTGAAGCATCAAAATCAAATTTGTAACCAGAATCATTTAACGAAACCTTCTGAAACTTTTACTGAACCCTTGAGGGCAGGATTTGAGAAGATTGTGGAGAGCGAGGACACTGGTTTAGATGTTGATAACAAGGTTGCTTCAGACACTGGAGAAAACAACATTATATCTAACATTTTGTCTTTGGAACTAGATGCATGGGAAGATTCACTAGTTAAGTTGTTGGATGAAACTGACGAACCATACTCATCCTTCAAAGCACCTGCTTTGCGGAAAATCCAAGACAAGAATCAGTCCAGGTTTTCCTTTGCAAGACAAGATGATTCCTTGAATAAGACATCTGTTTTGCAGCAATCATTTGGGATTACCGAACATGATCCTAAAGGGAATTATACATCTGGTGGTTATAACACAAACAAAGATATGTTCGCTGTAAAAAATCCATACGCTTTCACATCAAGCAGTTCTGTACTATCAGATAAATTAGATGGAAGTCCATCATTGGTGCCCACTAAATTTTCCAGTGAGTATTAATCAATAACATACTTGAGTATTCATCTTTCATCTTTGAGTGTGGAGGATATAGTTTTCTTTCTATTCATGTTTTCTCTCATAGTGTCTTCTACTTTATTGGATTTACATGCATAGATCTTGATGTCAGTTTCCCTGCTTGTTCAATTTATTATATTTGCACCTCCTTTTCCTCTTGCCTTCTTAAAGATCCTGCAAATCTCTTATCACCTTTATCTTTTGCGTTGTTAATTAACGGAGAAACATGGTAATTTGAGCACTTAACATGCCTACATAGATAATGGCTTTGTTTAATAGTTGATTCACTGGCTCATTAAGTAGCTATGAGGTTAATTTTGGGTTTAACATGAATTTAGTGCTTCTAATCCCCACAGATGCTACAATATATTTAGTATGCAAAATTTGTCCAGTTATTTGCTTGTGAATGGAAGTATGAGGCTATATTTTTCTTCTGCAGTTCTATTTTATTTTTTGGCTGTTGTTATTCCTATCTAAATATATTCTGGATGTCTTTTTTGAAGCTATTTGGTTTTGACTGTAATCAGGCAATGTTGCAGTCAGAGAAAAGTGTTGTGCACGAGCATTAATGTTATTGCGATTGTGAATATACTTTTGGCAATTAAAGACCTCAGCTGTACAATGACAGCCTATTAAAAACTGCAACTATAATATGAAGAACAATTGGAAAAAAAGTTTTGGTCATAAATGCCGTGTTGTATTCATACTATTGTTTATTTTCTATGTAATGCTCAATATTTGTATTTGAGCATGCTTATTAATAAGTGTATCTTTAATACTTATTTGGTAGGAGTATAAGTTTGTTGTCCCTTGGTGTATCATGAAATGTTCATGACTAAATCTGAAATAATAATTTACTCCTGACTGACATATCAGGTCTCCTTTTAACACAATATTCTTCATTGTTGCTAATTTTCTTCACTGTTGAACTAAGCTTTGATCAAACTGATTTTTTCATTCGTTATCTTTTATCAGTGGCAAAAGCTCATGCTTCAAGTCCACCTGGATTTTCAATGTCAGGCAGAATACCTCCTGGGTTTTCACGCGGGAGAGTAGAACAGGGTTGTAATAGTTCTGGTATAACTCTTTCATGGCTCAACAATTACTTCACTTTAACTCTTTTCTGTGTATTTCTGCTTTTCAGCCACATCTACATATGGAGAGCTTTCTTATAATTTTTTTTTTCTTTTCCAGTTGAACATTTGCAACCACAGTATGCTCCTCCATCTGTAAATAACGGAAGGATAGGAGATGCTGAATTCAATAATCCTATGGTATTTGACCCTAGCAAGAGCCTTGTGGAAGAAAGGTTGAATAGTGCACCTTTTAACCTGAGGCAAACTTTCCTTCCACAATTTAGTCCTAATGAAGATGATGCTAGACTTAAGTTGATAATGCAACAATCTATAGCTTCACAGAATTTAAGACTTACAGATCATAATGGAAATAGGTTTTCCCCGCAAAGTGATGCTTATAGAACTCCTTCAAGGTTTCTTGATCAATTTCAGTCTAACAATCCTTCATTTTCTGAACAAATGCGCTCTCAACAGTTCAGTAGTAATATTCTCGGTTCAAATAACCAGCGGGGAAGTTGGAGCGATTCCATGTATTTCAGTGGCCTATCTATGTCGGAAGTGTTGAATAATGAAATAGGGACGTTTAACAATTTCATGCCCAGTTATGAGAATATCAAGTTTTAAGCACCTGAGCTGACTGATCAACTAATATTCATGGTGGTGATTGCGTCTCAACTATAGTTCAATTTCCCTTCAGTGCACTAATAGGCTCTCAGATGGCAGTATGTGGAAAACCTGTCTCAAAATGTTATGAGATTCGTTATTTGGCTAAAATTTACTATGGCAGTCTGGCTGTACCTTGAGACTTGTTTCAAATCTGTATGGAACTTGAGTACCCTGAATTCCTTATCACAATTCTGCCATCAGATGGTCAAAGGCAATCTTTACTCGCCCTTGTTTGCTTAGCTTCATTGCAAAGCACTGGAATCTGGGTGTATGTAGAACGATTGTCGGACGACAAATGGTGTCAACTTTTTCTATGGGGTAATGTCGGGAGAACTGATCTTTGTGGCTATTATGGTGAGTTAAGTTTGTAATTTTACTATCTTTTATTTTCATGTGTGCTAACATCAGGATGAAGCCAGCACTTTTCCATTTGAAGCTGCTGCTCTAAAATTGCACGGTTTGCACCTTAAAATTTTCTTTTTATATTGAGCAGTTTCGATATATAACTTGTTCTCTACTCTATCTATGCAGTTAACTGGGTTTCAAGAAACTTGTCATCTAACAAAAGAAACTACAATAGGAGCTATAAGCCTACTGGTGGGAAATTCATGCTATGAATGGCGAAATAGGCCATCTAGATTTGACGTTTTCTTCACTCCTGAAATTGTTTGTTCAGAATCTGTTACTAATCTTGAATTTGTAACTCCCTTATGCAACAAATATGACTTCAATACTATTTAGTATGTACAAAGTTGGTTTTGGTTTTACAAAAGTACCAAATTTTTGCTATATATAGTGTGGTACTCCTCAGAAAAAATCTATTACAAGAAGGGATCCATTGAAATTTGGCAAGTCAAGGCTTGCACCAAATCTCAGTAAAATTTATCGATTCTATGCTTGCTACTCCTCTTTTTTCAGATATCCCACTCCACTCAACCTGTTTATTCAAACTCTGCATAGGGTGGGCGTAGAACAGCTCTTATTCTGTGTGTCATTTATGTCCTCAAACTCTTCTGAACATTTGCCACTTTCCAAGTAACCTCCGAGACTGTTGTAATTTAGTCTTTTCTGTCATTCATTTCCCTGTGTCCCAGTGTTTGTTTATGAAGCACGGAATGAGTGTTTGCCTTGTAGGATGTTAAGTAGTAGTAGAGCTATATCAATAATAACGAGAACATTGAACCTTTATAATTTTAGGAGAAAAGCGTTGAAAAGTGAGGCATACATTTTTCTCCTCTCTTTGGTTTCATTCCCATAGCAATTGATTTGACGGTAATAAAACTTATATATAATAATAAAACTTATTTCTTTAACTCAAGTATAATAATACTGAAGTTTTCATTCCAACCTAGCTACAAAATGACATTCTCCTGTTCAGTATCCCTACTAGTAGTTATAGTAGGAAATCTTTTCAGGGCAGGGCAGTGAATGAACCTAAATAGATTACTTGAGCGCTTTATTAAACCCGATTACAAATCAATCATGCGAGAAGGAATTCCTAGTCGTAGTTAGCAAAAAGAAAATTTCCATACATGTTTAAGAAGGAAAATAACCCTATTCTCAGCTACATTTGTTCGAGACACGGTTTTTGGTTAATGCTATGTTTGTCTTCAACTATTAGTCCATATAAAATTAATTTGTAAGCAGTGTTAATCTGTATTGTTAAATAGATTTAAATTTTTGAATGATTTTTTTTACAAGTAAGAACATTATAAAATATTACTGTAAAGAGGAATCAATCTACCTTCAAAGATGCTTGCATTTTTTTTTTAAAAATTGGAATAAAGATTGCAATTTGATTGAGGTTGATGGTTGATATCGTAGGAACTACATTTATTTGGAATGGGTCCAAGTGCAATGGCCATGACAGTCTTCAAAAAGCTTGATCACATGCTTTGTAATGTTGCTTGCAAGGTAAAATATCATGTTTTTTTTCTTCTTAAGAAATTAGACCATTATGCAACTCTGTTATGCTTTAGTTAAATTGCCTAATGCTATTATACACGCCTTAGTTGGTTAGCTTGTATTCAGGAATAGTTAGGTTGTTATAGTTGGTTAGCTTGTAAGTCCTTAACTAAAGTGCTTAAGTAATATAATATTAGTAGCAAAATTCTTTATAGCTTACGTTAGTAATAAGAAATTTGCATTACAGGAGAACTGACATGACATCCAAATGAACTAAAATTTAGTTCCCATTATCTATATAGTTAACGTTAACTATGTGAAATCTATTATAATATTATTTAATATTAATAAAATATTTCAAATATTCTAACAACATTAAAGTAAGGATATGATATTTGAAAATAGTAACGGTCATATTATCATTTTTTACCTTCTATAAATTCTATAGAAATTTTAATTTTTTTTACACACAGTTTTACTTCTAAATTTTTTTATTTCAATTTCCAATCTTATTTATTTATCAAATGGATCCCAACCAATCGAATCCTTATTATAATTATATTCCTATGAAAAATGTAATTTTTTTTATGTATTATTGTTGTGAATTTTATATGTATTATTTTTAAGATGTAATTTTTGTATTATTTTTATGTATTATAGCTTACTTCTATTTTTTTTTACACACAATATTATTTTTATGTATTCCTATGAAAAATTTAATATTATTTTTAAGTTTTTAAGATAAATTTTATTTAAAAAATTATATGTATTTTAATTAAAATAATTAAATTAATGGTAACTTGAATAAAAAATATAAAATGTGGGGTCAAGTTTTGGTTTCTTATAGACAACCACAGTTAAAGTAAAAACTACTCAAATCAACTATAATTTTTTTAAATCCTACCAATCACTTTGGGCCCACAAAAAGTATCTTAGTTTACCCATTTAGTTTACTCCCACTAAAGATGCTCTTAGTTGATTAAATTTAAAGTTTCTTCTTTTCTGTAAATCCTATTTTTTTCATTTCAAAATTTTGTTTCTTCGTACATCTTTGATTTTCACATATAGAAGACAATTTAGATTCAGCTTCATCCTCAGACACCAACAACCTCTCTATCATCTATGACCCATCATACAACTCTCAAAGACTATTTTATCTCTACTCTGGCAAAAACTCAGGTTTTATCCTTCACTGCACCACAACTTAATGAACCCGATTACAACAATTGAAGCAAATTGATGAAACAAACATTGTCAAGAACAAACTCGTTTATATTCTTCTTTCAATTCTTCAACTGACTCTAAAAACACAATAATATGATATTAGTTAGAGAGTAATATGATATTAGTTGATCAAATCCAAAATTTCTTCTTTTCTGTAAATCCTATTTTTTTAATCTCAAATTCTTACTTCTTCGTACATCTTTGATTTTCTCATATAGAAGACAATTTAGATTCAACTTCATCCTCAGACACCAACAACCTCTCTATCATCTGTGACCCATCATACAACTCTAAAAGACTATTTTATCTCCACTCTGGAAAAAACTCAGGTTCTATCCTCATCGCACCGCAACTTAATCAACCCGATTACCACAATTGAAGCAAATTGATGAAACAAACATTGTCAAGAACAAACCCGTTTTCATCCATGGCTCTCTTCCTCAATGTTCAACAACTGATCCAAACTTTGCATTGTCGAATTGATACAACAACATTGTATTATTATGGATCACTCAAAACCTAAATCTCCAAATTGCTCAAAGAACAACTTCCTTAGGCAATACAATTTTGTGTGTGCAAGATTTGCAAGATAGATACACCAAATGAAATCACTTTCGATTCTCATAATACTCAAAGAACTTCATTCTATCAAACAAGGCGATCACAATCTCTCGATCTACTTTACTGATTTGAAAATCATGTGGGATGAGCTTGAATCTCTATGCTCAACTCCATGGACGATTTTAAGGCCCGGTCAGGTTGGGCATGTGCCTAGGCTCTGGCACACATTTTTTTCTTCTTTAACAAAAATTAATGAAAATTGTGGCGATTAAAAAGTCCTGTTATGGAGGTTTAAACCGCCACAATTTACAAAAATGCAGAAAAATATAACAGTTTGAATAAAGTTGACCGGCACACAAAATGTCATAATATACATTGAATAAAATTTAGCTTTTTTGTCTTTGATAATGACAGTTTTCACCACCATAAATTAAGTATTTTTCACAAATAAAAACATGATTTTTTTTTTACCTTTTTGATGCAATTAAGCATACATTACATCAACTTTTTTGTTGATATTATAATATTTAGATTCAATTAAATTACAAAAAGTGCAGAATTGAAATAAAGCATAAAGTTGCAATTTAGAACCAAATCAACCAAAAACAAAAATTGAATACTTAGAAAAAATAAAAATTAACATAAAATAGTAGTTACTAAAATTTTAAAAAAACATATCCAATGTTGTAAAAAAAGGAGAAGAAAAATAAATTTTATCTTCAAATAATATAAAAAATATATTATGTGCTCGATAGAATGATTCAACCAACTTCTCGTCTATTTTTGCTTCAATTCTTTTACTTCATGATGTTGAATTATTGTTGTTGTTGCAGGTTGTGGTTTATGAATTATGGTGCTGAATTGTTGTTATTGGTTATTTCACTTTATGTTACATGAGGTTCAATACTTCAATTTATGTTCACTTTATAAAAATTATATGGTCCAATTTATGTTAACTAAGAATTTGTTTTATAAATTTAGTTTATAGTTACAGTAGTTAGCAAATAAAATTCTATTTGTTATCAGTTGATAATTTCATGAATCACATGAAATGATATTCCATGTTAGAATCAATCTCAAATTGGATATGGTTATGTTAGCTTTAAAATTCTGTAGAGACCAATTAAGTTAAAGATATTTTATTTTGATTGATAACTATTTATATATTATATACAATGTGAATTTGTGGTCTTTAAATTTTTGCTCAGACTTCAAAAATTTTCTAGCTTCTCCCCTGCTCAACTCCTTCACGCACATGCTTTTTGAAATGTTCTTGCTCTTTGAGTTCATCGGTAAAAAAGTTCAAATATCACATGTTTCCTCAAAGGCCTTAATCAAAATTACAACAGTATTCATATCCAAATTATTTTTATGGATCGAATCCCTTCTTTCAGCAAGACATGCTTCATGGTTAACCTTCTCCTCACACACCGTCCATTCATTCCACTATCCTTGATACCCATATTAACCCAATGAAAGACAAATATTCAAGCAATCAGGGCAGGAGCAAAGGTAACGATGTGTAGCCATTGCAACAAAATCAATCACACAATTGAAAATTGATATTTCAAACATGGTTTTTCCCAGAGTATAGAATTAAGAACTCAATTGCACTGATGATACTGTTGAGAACAAGAAACATCATTTAAACATATCCACATATAGCTCACATTCCATCAATAAAGAAGATTATCAATACCTTGTAAACTTATTAAAATCTTCCAAACTTGATCCATCCCACACTACTTGCAGTGACAACTCTTTTTTTTATTAGGGAGGGGAGGACTCCTCTTGTCATTTCTAGCATCTCCAAAACAAGTAATACCTCTCATAAATCTACATTATGGAGCATTCGACCATATACATCTATTTATTAAATCTTTACCAAACATCAAAAAGGGGAGAATGAAATTGTAGTCACATTATC